AAATAATATGCGAGATGGCTCTCTATTTCTGTAGTATTACTTTACTCTGTGGAAATGATACATATCTTTTTCGATTTAATAAATTGCTTCTGTCATTATTCCGCGGCGCCTTATAAATATTTCATAGCAAAAACTTTGCACTGCTTCAAAATATTTCAGTCTAACGTTACCTTAAAACTGTGGGTTTTCACTCAAAATAATGAACAGTTTAATAACTACAAGTTTAAATCTAGGAGGGCAATAGCTATTAAATTAGGGCCAATTTAATAGATACTTCACACTTGCAAAATTCAAACAATGTTTGCAACAGAGGATACACGATATTTTTTTTTCAATTAGTATTGTATAATTGCTTATGTTTTTTTCAGTTAAAAATACGTATTTATTGTAATAATGACAATACTACTTGTTAAGGAATATTTACCCATAAATTAATACAACATATTATTTATACAAGTTTATTTACAAATAAGGGTCATCCATTACAATACTGAGCCACCTTTTATTACTGCAAAAATGCTGACTCGGCTACAAACTGAATTCACTCCAGAAGATTGGCGAGAAATCGTCAACAAAAAAAAGAAAAACTGTAAAATGTTGTATTTGTTATTATTATTACTTGTACTTGTCTTAATTTCTTTCCTAAATTTACTTTAAAAAATAATGGGACAGGGATTTAACTGTTTTTTTTTACTTGATTTGTTTTTAATTCGAACTCAATGAAAATTAGAGTACATATAAAGTACTTCTTCACAATAACTGCATTCAATTCACAATGTATGAAACCTGTATTGATTCATTCTATGTTCTATCAATGTTTCTAAGCAGGTCACCTCACAATAAAGCAAAACAGACAGATGTCAAGTAATGTGATCTAGTGTACCTATTAGATATATAACCATGTATTAAAATCAGACTGGATACATTTGAATATTCTGACTAATTTTTAGTGGATGATAATGATGGTAATTTTACTTCCTAATACTTGGATTTTTTTTTTCACAAAAGAAGGAAATGGCCAGTAATAATCTGCTTTTCGACACTGCCTTATTTGACATTACATCAATCATTTAAACATTGAAATCTTTTAAACTTTTTATATAATTGTAAATTTAAAAACTTGGTTTACAACTTTCTACAATAGGGTTTTTACTATGTTAAAAAAAGACTAAAATCAGGACTATGTATTTTTTTCTATTTTTAAAATGATTCTGTAATAATTATATTATTATCAACATATAATATGAAATTAGCATTTAAAAATTTATCATATATTATCCTAAACTTCCTTCTCTCTATCTTTCATCGAGGAATTGCTGTAAAGTATTGTCCCACAATCAACTTTGTTCTGCTGAACAGTAAATGGCTTTAGCTGGACAAATAAAATGGATAGTAGGCTTGGATTTCATTTGAGATGCAAAGAGTCTAGAATGGTCTAACACTTACAGGTTTATTCTCTTTCATGTCTTCAGGTCTGATGCTGGATGTTACTTTAGACCAACGCATTAGAGCTTAGTCTAAAGTACAGAGCTTAGAGCAACACAAAATTTATTGAGATTACTTCCAGATTGTATCCTTACATGTAAACTGTCTCCGGGTTTTGAAGGTGTAGTATAGTATTTTTCCTTATTAAATTTTCATTTTAACCTTGTTGTATAATCAATCGGTTAATGTCAACACAGTAGCTATGTCATCAGAGAATGTGTGCATTAATTTACACTAAGCTTTTCATATTTTTTTTTGCTTTCTCTTCACCAACAAAGGATTTCATTGCAAGAACCTTGTAGTCCAGACTCCATTTTAGGTTTGCAATCTGCTAAATGACAATAAGATGCCTATGGAAGAATGTTGTGTTTATGTTAAAATTTGCTTTAGCGAAAAAGATTTCTCTAGGCAGCCAAAATCAATGGAAAATATGTTACAAATTATATTTTCATCACTTTATAACTAGTAATATAACCACTGTAATAAGTGTTTTAAAACATTATATACCTATATCTGAAACTTTTATATTTCTGGTTGATCTTTTGTAAACGGCAACGCTTTAACAACTAACTTAAACCCTCGATTGAATCGATCAACTAGTTAAATTCGTCAACGACCGCGACGTTTAGGAAATTAAGCCGTTTAATCATATCGACTCTTTGAACGCAAACGTAACGAACTAAATAAATTAAAAAAACTTACGTTGACGTTGAAAATAACGTAACTACCCGAAAGTTTATAATTATTACTATTACAGTTACAGTTATGTTGTTTTAGAAAAAGATTACGTAAACAAATTAAAAGATGAAAAGGACAAACTCAAAAGTAAATTAAAAGCCACTACATATAGTACAGATTCAAATATTGGAGTTTATTTATTTTTTATTCATGCTTAAAATAATTTTATATTTAATAAAAGTATGATATTTGTTCTAAACTAACCACAAATTTTGATATAAAACGTTCAAGCAACTAGCTTGAAAAATAATGTACTAATGTAGTAGTGGTACTTGGTCAGCTAATATTATCTAGTGTTTATTTTGAATGAATAAATCGCATTGGTATTTATTTTAAACGAGATCTGGTAATTATAAACCAGATCAGATATCAATCCAAAATGTAAGCTCTGTGAGCTTACCATTTAAAATAATCAAAATATTACGATTATGTTAATGGATTTAAATCATATTATTTTATTCATATTTTCTTTTTATTTTATTTACACGTTTTTGTAATTCAACTATATTGCACATATTATGGAAACCTTTCTAACAATATCAATTCGGAAGCAGTCTACAGTGACGTAAAACATCATTGATTTTATAATATATAATCTGTGTTCGAATACAATGTTCAACACAAGTTTCTTTGTTTTCCTACTAACCCTAAGAATTTAATTCATAACTAAGTGCTACAAATAACATATAAATACCTCCTATGTTTGACAACAAAATTAAATAATAATCAGCTACCTTTCTTCTTCTTCAGCGGTTTCTTTGCTTGAAGTGGCGTGTTTCATTCTTAATATACTTTCCATCTTCATCACTTTTATATATATTGGCACATCACACATGTGAGAAACATGTTAATACAGCACAGTCATCCCGTAAAAAAATGTTTATTTTACTCTAATTATTAAATAAAATATCTACTTAATTCACAACACTTATAATTACAAAAATAAAGGTTATACGGAGACCCAAGTGTCATTACAATTTTAAGTGGTATGTCAAAAACTGACAGGTGCGATATTGAACTGTTTTGAGTAGGGTAGATACCTACCTAAAGTTTAATTCAAATATAAGAATTTTCGAAAAACTGGCTTTTTGCCAGTTAATATCATTGTGGTTTTGTTTGACATTTGGGAATGTGATTAATAAATCTATCTACATAATGATTATCGAGTAGTGACGGGTTTACATTTTAATCGATTTAATTTCTCTAACGCATGTATTGTAATGTTTTTTTTATCAGCTAATATTGATATTAGGGTTGATGAGGATGTAGCTATAAGGAGGTTGAGGATGAGGATTTTTTTAGAAAAAAATTGAGGATGCGGATGACGATGAGGATCTGCTATGAGGAAGAGGACGAGGAAGAAGAGGAGAAATAAATAACAACATAATAGAAATATTATTTTTGAGCAAAATATATATTACTAAGCTTTTATAATTAAAACAAAACCTTTGTATTTTTTAAAGATAAGAACAAATTAGGAAAAGTTTGTATTTAATACTTTGTGTAAAAATTAATGCTGAAAAGTAATTAAATATGATTATTGAAAATTAATTTGTTGTAGTTTTGTTGTAAATTGAATTTAATAAATAATAATTTAGATGCTGTTTCTCCTGATAAACAGTTTCGTAGCTCATCGTAAACCAACCCAGCACCACTAAAAAGGCGTTCACAACGAAGGAACGGAACACTTGATGAAGGGGCTGATGGACTGACGTACTTATCCATAAAATTCTAAATATTTTCGGTATACTTTCCACCATGAAAGACTGTCTTCAGTGATATTCAGTCCTTTTCCGTTAATATAATCAGCTAATAGTAACTTAATTAAAGCATGTCTGTTTAGTGGTGAGCATGATACGATACTTTCATCGTCACTGTGAGGTGTTGAATTTAGCATATCAACTAACATAGAATTCATAATTCTGTTTTCATCACGCGCTGCCACAGGAGTGGCCGTGGAGCAAGAAAGTCGGTTTCCGACATTCTGCGTAATTTCAAAAGTCATTCAGTCCAATTTTTTTTATGAAATCATTATTATTTAGAGTCATTGAACTTAAAAATAACTATTAGGAAAAACTTATAAATAAAATATTATCTAGTCACAAAATTCAGCAAACAAAAAAAAATTATTTTAAGAAACTGTTTTAATTATAATAATAAACCGGCAGATTATTTGTCACTTCCTCTAAAAATAATAAGAGGAAGAGGAGAAGGGTTTTGTACAATTTATTTAGTGGAAACGGAATCGGTAGAGGATTCGTGATAAAATGAGGAAGTTCCGCATTAAGGAGAAGAGGAAGAGGAATCCTCATCAACCCTAATTGATACTTCAAAAAAGTAAGTATAATACTGTATGGAAATGATTAGAAAAAAACACTCGAGTAAGAAAAATATAACATGGTGGTCCTAAATAGACACCGCACTGTTTCCAAGATTGATATCAAGTACTATAATACCTATCTTCTAGGCTTCCTTGTATAGCTTTATAGTTTTATTCATTACTTTAGTCTTTTTCATTACTTAACCTTACCTAGTCTATAGTACCTATATAGTTCCTCTTTGATATCATATCGATTTATTAAATCAAGATCAATTAATTTAATTAATTCTTCTAAAGACTGGACATAGAACAAGCAGAATATGACGATGACGACTGTTTTGTTTTTTACAATAAAATATCTATTATAATTGGTACTAGCCTTTATCCATTTGAATAAAACAAAATCCCTTACAATATAGACATTATAATGAATGTCAATTAATTAATTTTTCACTTATATTATGTACCTGAATGTATTCAGCTTATCAACCACTTTACTAAGTGGATTTTTTCGAAGCGGCCCTGGCGATCCTCCGGGAGAGTTTTCCCTGGACTCCGCTGCTATGGCGCGCGCCACCATTAAATCTTGCTCGTTTAACATTCTGGAACGAATAAATTTTAGCATTGGATTATACATATTTTTTACTAATATAATATTTGGAGGTATTAATCCAATATTAGAAATACTTTTGATATAGAGCCGTAATAATAAGTTTCCTACAGTAGACACTATTTGCATTATTTGGATCTAGAGCAGTGGACATTATTTGGATATATAGCAAATGAGTAATGAATCGTGTATATTAAAACTTTATATAATATTATTATTATGTACGTTAGAAAAAATGGCTATATTGTCTTCTTTATTGATAATTGTCAAGTTGTCTCCTCTCAAAACGGTTGTTATTAATAGAAATGTTTTCACTTTAAATGAAGTTATCTTTATTAAACTTAGGGTGCTGATACATACGAAATAATAAACTAGTCAACAAATAGTTGACTGATTTTTACTTTTGATGATAGTTATGGCGCTTTCAGTCCGTAGACTGTATAAAGCTACATCAAGCACAGAGCTCGAAGAATAGCAAAGTTTCCACGAGCTTGATAAACCTATGGTGTATGGGCAACACTATGGTGGGGTGGGCGACGCTTACAAACGGTCGCGGTAGGATCCGGTTGATAAATAGCCTCGATTACGACAACGGTGGTTGCAATCGCTGTTAATGAGAGAAAGGCTGTTTTTTATGGGAAAAGTTATTATGCTATAGTATTACATTTTCACTTCGCGCCTGTCTTCTGTGAGGTTGTGGTACTTCCTCGGACGAGCCTGCCCATTCATGTAACAGCCGAATCTTCTGTGTGGCCCTACCACAGTTTGAGACAAAGATACAGCCAACACATTCCTTTCGTTATTTTAGTGCTTTTTTTATAGACATCCCTAAATGAAAGAATTTCTAAATTTAAATTGTTTATAGTGCTAATATTTGCACTTAAGAATTTCTGCTAAGAAACCTTTCATGTTTTCAAACATTATGGATTAAACAGATAAGTGCGGTACTTGAAGGGCAAAAGGAGGCAAAGTCAGAATTTTATTTTCACTTCTATCCTAAGGAGCTCGAACTAGCTCGTGACCTGAAAGCTATCCAAATTAAGCAGTTGTTATAGAATATTTTACGGACGGGAAACATGAGTTAACACTTCCAGTGATGGTAGATGATGTGGCGGTGGATGAACTCGCGAGAATATGGAGAATGGCCAAACACAATGCCAACACACTTGGTTTCAGAGGAAGAAAAGGAGAGTAGCTCACTACCGGCATAAAACTGATCGCCCCAGCCTCTCTAGCCGCATCCAGATCTGAAATCGGCTATGCAAGGCTCTTTTCATGACTTTATTGCCACGATTTAAATAACATCGCAATACATTTATAAATGCACTTTAAAGTACAAATAAAAACATGTACCATTTGTTTAATCCATTCATATTTGTAAGTTTTTGACTCATTTTTTTACAGATTGCATAGCGTTTAATTTACTTTTTTCTGTTCCCTTATAAACCCGTACTAATTGTTTTAATACAATTTATGTGTAGGTAGTATTCACAATAACGATTCGCTGTAACGATGGAAATAATCCAGTACTTAAGCCTTTCAGTTTTTAACTACTTTATTATACCCACGCCATGCCTTTATATCTTTAAATCAAGTATGTACCAACTTAAAAAAGTCATAAGGTCAAAATGGACGATCCAAGGTCGGGGTTTATCTTTGTGTTATTTAGAAACTCTGAAATTGAAAACTAAATTTAACTTCGTCTCTTTTGCCAGGTAGACGTGAAGTGAAAGCTAAATTTGTTCATCGGGTAGAACAGCAATGTGACCTATTTTATCAATGCCATCGGTGTTTGTCGTCTAAGACCTGTTCATATAGTACTAAAATAATAATTGATGAAGCTATAATAGCTCAAATCAAAAGAGCACTAAAATCATTGAGACAAGAGTGATATTTGCACGACTATCGAGTGGCTTCGCAACCTATAGGCAAGATAAAATAATTGGGAGCCTGTTTCAAGCCCAAGGCGAACTTCGTGAGCACTGACTTTTAATAACAAATTGAGATCGGGTAACCATACGTGAATCTTTCCTTTCATTTAAAGTTATTTTGTAATTGAGGCTCAGAGCTCCGACCGGAGATCATAGGTACATTTTTTTTTGAAAAAACATTGCCATTACTTCAGGATAACATAACTGTGTTGTAAGGACGTTTTACAAACTGTCATCTTCTAAGTCATCAAGTCATCTTATAAGGGTCAATATATATTTAATGCAGCGTATGATTTATCTGCATTCAAAAGTTCATTCCTGTTAGTTCAGAAATTTCACAGTGTTTACGAGTTGATATTGAACCTAGTTGATTGTAAGATGAACAAGCGGCAACCTATAGGACGTAAGAAGCTGAATGGACCTGAACGAAATTGCTTGACTTCTAATAACTACCAAGTTTATGTTCGTTGTTCGTTGTTCGTTCAAAAGTGGATTGACGATACTGATACCGAGGTGGTTTTGTGCGCCCCATATGGAAATTGCTATATTTTTCATTTGCATTATGAATTTGTTAAAAAAAGTAAGTGTGTGCGTATGTACACACGTATGAATTTATGATTCTTTACCGTAACAAAAGAAAAATAAGTAAAAATTTTATCCCCTCTGCCAGTGCAGACATTCAATCAATCAAAATCAATCAAAAATTCAAATAGACGCTTGCGCGTTCTTATGAATCGTCAAATGCAATTGATAACGGTTTAATTAAATAACTTTGAATTGTAGTAGGTAAATATTAAATAGTTGTTATTGGTTACCATGGTAATACCATGAAGTTGGTCGCTTTAGGAATAACATCATCATGTCGCGTTTTGGCTGTCGGGTATGCGCGCGCATCGTAAACATTTTACTCTAATTATTTTTTCCAAACGTGCATAAAGAAGTATAACTTCATTGGAATTTATCCAAAATTATTCGTTAATAGAAATAGTTTTTGTATTTAATTCCCCATTTTTCGAACACCCTTCAATATACAGTGTCATTAATAGACTGTAACGCGGAATTTAAAGACGCGGTAAAATCCGTAAACTAGTTTAATGATTTTCTATTTGTTTCATATGTATCAAGTTGGCAATTATTTGCGGTTATGAATTTAAGTGGAATTCCACTGCACATTTTTGTAGTTTACCTAAGTGCTGCTACAAATCATCAAAATATATTGTTACATTTTTAAACGGTTTTATTTAGCTCGACCCGTACGGAATTTATTTGTTTATTTGGTTCAAAATTAGAAATTGGCACCGTCCCGTTGTCAGATTGATCTGAAATTTGGTGCACACATTTAATTTAGATGACAATACAATATTCTAGTTTTCAGTGCACATAAAATAAAACCGTTTAACTTAAAAGTTTTTAAACGCTTTTATATGATAATATTTTCTGATGGTGACCCTTTTAAAAAGTTAAGGTACGTACAGAAAGTATTACTCAACAGTTTTAGAGGCCAACCGTCGAGATTTTAATATTATTTCATAACATCTAATTGATACATGAGATCACATTATTTTATTTTGGCTTTAGTAATCATTTCATATGCATTTTGTATATAAGGTCACTTAAATCAGTGTAATTAGTGTATGCTTAAATCAGACAAAAAAATAACTAAAGACATGGTCAAGCTGTAAAGCATGTATCATATTTATATGTGGAAATTTGGTTTCTATCCTATGTGGTATTATATCAAACTGACGTAATCAATACAAGGTAAACAATTACGTAGGTACGTTATAATTTGTACTACGACCACTTTAACAGTGGTAGGGCAACGCAACAGTCTTCAATGTTGCATGAATCTGCATATCTATCCGGGGAAGTAACACAACCTTACAGAAGACCAACATGAAGTGGAAATGTAACTTAACACGTCTGTGTTTCTTCTGGTGAGTGAGGTAGCCGGGGCCCACTTCGTTCAAAGGTGGCAACGCGTCTGCATCCCTACAGGTGTTGCAAATGTCCATGGCTGGTATGACTTAACACCAGAAGAACCACCAGCTCGCTTACCACCAAAAAAAAAATTGTAATACACAATTTTAGTGTGGTCGAGTCACCCAACAGTCTTCACTGATGCACGAAATCAACGCACACGCAAAGTACCACAACGTCAAAGAAGATCCGCGTGAAGTGTAAGTGTCACACTTCTGCGCGTCGTCTGGTGTGTGAGGTAACCAGGGCCTACCGAACTTTATCAAAAGGTGGCAACGCATCTGCAACCCTACAGGTGTTGTCCATTAGTTATTACTTAACATCATGTGAACCGCCAGGTCACTTGTCGTCAAGCATAAAAAAATGCAATATATTGAGAGAAGAATAATTTATAACCTATTAATTTTAAAATCCCGTTGCTTGTTAAATTAATGAAATAGTAAGTGCTGTACAGATTTATTCATTTCATTAAATTTTAATTTACCTACACTAATCATAAATTTGGTCTGATAAGATTTGAAAACTTATTTACGTTTCGAAAATTGTACAATAATTTTATGAAGCAATATGCAGTATGCTAGTGAAGACAAGAAATCATTACTTGATCTGATCCTAGTCGATTTAGGCTACGCAGATCGTTTCGACGGAATGTTACATGCAAGAAAGAAGTGTTAAATGTATTGACAAACACTGATAATTCTTGATGGTACTAAGTGTTCCACGTGATACAATTTAGTTAATTTACAAACGTTAATATCGAAACCTCGAGTAAAATTCGCTACTTACTAAATAGTAGTATTTTTACTGTTAAATCCTGGAATTAAACTTAATAATAAATAAGAAACTTTTTTTTATTTTTTATTAAATAAGAAACTATCTTTAAAACAGTATTGTGGTTCCGGAAATGTAATAAGTATTTATTACGCTTACGTAACATAAATGCCTCATTTGATTTATGTTTTGTTAATGGGAAATGATAACTTTTAATTTATCAGCAGAGGTTAGAGACGAGAATTTTTAGTTAAAATTACGCTCCACCTGGTGATCATAAAATCATTTTACATACTGAATATTTATTCTAAGTAAGTTACATGAACGGACATGGAACGGACGAAAAAAGTTTATGATGATTGTGAATACTGGAAATCGTCTATAAGCTATTTTTTAATGTAAAAAGTTGACAAGCGAGCAGGCGGTTCACCTGACCTGGGGGATCACACATCACAACACCTGGGGGATTGCAGACTTGCAGATGCATTGCCAACCTAATTAAAAGTAGACCTCTGTCACCTCACTCACCAGACGAAACGCGAGGGTATAATAAATACTACCAATTCACGCAGGTCTTCTGTGAGGTCGTGATACTTCCCCGAACCCTTTCATGCAACGGAAGCGGCTACATGGCCCTACCACGGTGAAAAGCGCGATTTTAGCTCTTATACAGGTATCAAAGTAAACGTATTACAATAATTACTTTTTAATCACATGTGATTGGCGTCATGGTTTTGTCATTCGAGTTAAATGTATACACTTAAAACTACACGACTTTATAATTTAGGCAAGATCCGGTTTGGTATTGTCCGACTGATTAATGTTCCCTTGATATTCTGGGTTCTTGCATGAATAATTTGCGGGTAATTGTTGTTGTAGTTGTTGCAAAAAAAAAATTTGCAAAAATATAATACAAGCTTTCGAAATTATTTCAACTTTTTCATAACATCGTGATCAAATAAGGCATTAGAACGCTTGTTTCTCTTTTCGTTCACTTACTTACGCACTCACTTTAAAGGTAAGGCTCCATGCGTGTCACAAAACGTAGCGTATTTGCGAACTCAACACCGAAACATTAAAAAAATAACGCGAATGCGCGGGAAAACCAATTGTCATGAGCGTGCGCGCGGTTCAACGATTTGTATGACAATAAACAGCGTTTAGGGGTCGAGTGGGTCGCAGGCGCAGCATCCGTCAATGAAGTAAGTCACGGTCATTGCTTTAAGCCTCTCACCGGTACCACTAACTACAGGCCGATTGCGCAAATAGGGTGTTACAGTATCATACACTCGAACTGTATCGACGTGTGTTATCTAATCGTCATCTCTAGCTATCGACTAACAATGCACGTATTGTTATGAAAGTCTTAAGCTTCATTTAGTGAATACATTAGTCTTTTTCCTAATATTGTTTCTTCATATTTTAAGTTCTTGATGTTGTATTATCACTGCTAATACGGTACATCCATCAGCAATTAACACTGAAATTTAAATGTAAAATATATAATGCGCCGGTGTCCTATTTAAAAACAAACACAATCCATAAATATTAATTGAAACTACTTTACGGATTTTATCGCGTTTTTATTTTAATTTAAATTCCCGACGTTTCGAACCCTTTCCAGCGTTCATGGTCACGGGACAGACTAAGTTGTTAGACGTCTTGATGTCATAGTTAACCCCGGCTACCGTCAATTATTTTATTTATTTTATTCCGATCCACGCAGAAGGAGCTTATGGTATCTTGAGGTCTGGCAGTGTTGGCGTGCTTGGATTTAATTTTATAAATTATGGGATCCCAAGCAGATGATAAACTCCAACCATCTTCTCTATTGAAATTAGGATGTTTCTTTATTTCAATAGCCTCGCGGATCATCCTTGGAAGGAATCGGTGTTCTTTTGCGAGGATTTTCGGTTGATCAAATCTAATGTAGTGGTTGGGGCGGTCTAAAATATGATCACAAACTGCAGACTTCTTCAACCGTCGGTGCTTCACGTCAGCTCTGTGTTCTTTAATTCTGGTTTTAATTGATCGTTTTGTTTGTCCTATGTAAGAGAGCCCACAATCGCAGTCAAGCTTGTACACTCCTGGATCTTGTAGAGGGATATTACACTTGACAGATGGTAAAAATTGACTTATCTTCTTCGGTGGCTTGAAATATGTTTTAATTGAAGCACGCTTCAAGATATAGCCAATCTTGTCAGTGACTCCTCTGACATATGGCAATACAGCAGACACTCGCTCTACTGTGGCCGGTTTCACTCGGTCACTGTGACGCAGGCGCGGGATTTGGAGCTTGTTGTCACGCAGCACTTGCTTGACATTGTGTAGCTCAGCGGCCAGGTGTTCCTTGTCACAGATCCCTCGTGCTTTCTGTAACAAACATTTACCAACAGTAGCTAACTGTGAAGGGTGGTGGTGAGAATCACCATTTAAATATTTATTTGTATGGGACAATATGTATCTTGAAGCGTGCTTCAATTAAAACATATTTCAAGCCACCGAAGAAGATAAGTCAATTTTTACCATCTGTCAAGTGTAATATCCCTCTACAAGATCCAGGAGTGTACAAGCTTGACTGCGATTGTGGGCTCTCTTACATAGGACAAACAAAACGATCAATTAAAACCAGAATTAAAGAACACATAGCTGACGTGAAGCACCGACGGTTGAAGAAGTCTGCAGTTTGTGATCATATTTTAGACCGCCCCAACCACTACATTAGATTTGATCAACCGAAAATCCTCGCAAAAGAACACCGATTCCTTCCAAGGATGATCCGCGAGGCTATTGAAATAAAGAAACATCCTAATTTCAATAGAGAAGATGGTTGGAGTTTATCATCTGCTTGGGATCCCATAATTTATAAAATTAAATCCAAGCACGCCAACACTGCCAGACCTCAAGATACCATAAGCTCCTTCTGCGTGGATCGGAATAAAAATAAACAAAATAATTGACGGTAGCCGGGGTTAACTATGACATCAAGACGTCTAACAACTTAGTCTGTCCCGTGACCATGAACGCTGGAAAGGGTTCGAAACGTCGGGAATTTAAATTAAAATAAAAAACGTGATAAAATCCGTAAAGCAGTTTCATTTAATATGTATAATATTTGCGTAAAATCAAGAAAACAATATACAATCCATAAACTCAGTATTTACTGCAGCTGTTGGTATTAGTTGAATCCCGACAAGTTTTGGCATATGTCTAATATTTGCTTTGAACCTATTAGGTATTTTAATGGTTTTATTTAAAATCTAGTGAATTATTTATCTCCTATACATAACTCCGCAGGAACACACATACCTTTAGTTTTTTTTTTATTTCATATTCTTTCAGTTAATAATTTTCTTCTACTGTTTTAATAAACAATGATTTATAGATAGGTTTTGTATAAGTTTAATTTTCAATATATGAAGTGAAGGTTGAGGACAGGAAGCCTCTAAAAATGTATAGTAGTTGTACAAGTTAACTTTATAGCCTTAATTAAAACAAAATTATACCAGACCAATAATTATAATTATTCTGGGACTATGCAAAACCAGTTTTTGTGTTGTTATCAAGTAAAAATAATGGGTAATTAAATTAAATTACCATAATTATTAGCCATTCAGGATGCTAACTATAGCTTAAACTAACTGTGTCGAATTTTTTAATTCTAAGCAACCAAAATTGCTGAATGTGTCATACATTGTAAACAAATGTTTTATATTGTTTCAGTGATATAATAAATTTACCGATTTATTATTATTGTAAGTAGATTAACTATTTACGTACAGCTTATAGTACGATTGCCTCGGCTTTGGTGGATCAATTCAAGATAAAAGTACTTAAGCTTAACTGTTACTCGAAAATTGGACCTTATTACTTCCTCTGGATATCTGTTCCACTTATGATTTCGGTCCGAGGCGTTGTTTAGACCTCCATCAGGGTCGTGTCGTGCCCCTCCAATAAATACGCCGGGCTAACAGCAACCCACACTTATAAAAATAGGTTACCCGATCTATCAATATCCAGCCATATAATACTCAAAAATAACCCTTATTTAAATATGAAGCAACAATATTAAATTCTTGTTATCTAAACTAATTTCTTTTCAAATAAAATTTACCCCATGATACTTTAGAATAATAGAGTTTAGAAAATAACAATCACTATTCTATACGCATATTATTGAAATTGATAAACTTCAAGTAAATTTGCGAATTGCGTGTTAACTTGTGTAAAAACAAAACACATAACTTCACAGTATTCAAGGTCACGGCTGGTCCATAAGATCGGAGATTTCATATACCTAAATGCACAGTACGTACTAAAAAAACAACATAGACTGACGACAATCCATATTCAGGTATTTAATATAATAAAGTTGAAGAGTTTGTTTGTTTGTAACCCCTAATCTCTGGAGCTACCAGTTGAATTTGAAAACTATTTTTGCATTTGGTAGCCTAATTCTTGAGGAACGTTATAGGGTATTTAACATCACGTTACGACCAGAAAAGGGCAAAGCAGAAACGTTTCTCCCGCACGAAATTGCATGGGAATTCCATGCAACTTCGTACGTTATAAAAAAAATAACCGAACCGATACATTTATGCGGAATATATCGAAATGGCTGTTGTTTAATGTATTGTTTTATGGCGAAACGCAATACTAGCACTCCTCTTCCTCCGCGAAATCACCGCGGTTGCAATAGACAACTAGAGTTTCGATGACTAAGTGGCGCAGTTGTCAAGGTATTGGCTTCGGCACCGTGGGTCGTGAGTTTGATTTCCACATGGGGCAAGTATTTAGGTGACCCACAGATAATTGTTTCGAATTTGAGTGTTTGTGCAATATATGTTTGTAAAACGCTCTTACAAGACAGCATTATCCTCCAGTAAGGACATTTAAAAAAAAAAGAAAAAGAAAAAATTAAGAGAATTGTAACGACACGCTGTTTATTTGGAGTTTAGAGTATAAGTATGTCTAGTTTTACACACCTACCTATCATAATATCATGATTTGTTTCTCATCAATCTTATGTCAGGGTTTGCTGGAAGAAAACTCTTTTTAGGGTTAAGCTCGCCTTTGTACTTTTTTTTGTAACTTTGTTTTCACTTATACTCTGTATACAATAAAGAATAAAGAAAGAAAAACTGCTCGTTGCAACTCTACCAACCTCAACCTGTCCCCCGCACCCTCCTCGCTCGACACTGTGCTTAATAAGTCCACTTGAAATGACCCTCTCGGGCTAAACTTACAGCACAGGCCGGCCAGTCTCAGTGTTCCCTCTTGACTTCAACGTTGGACACCGAGTCACGGCTACGAAGTCCAGGTGGAGACCACTACAAGGCGGAAACCCTTACGGAGGGGAAACGCAATTGCCATTGCCCTAACATGAAACTTATCGTCGCAACCTATTGCCATGGCTGTAAAAGTATGCAATAAGAATTATAGCTCCCTCTAACCCGGTATCAACCTTTTCAGGAATTTTGCATGGATTTGGTCATAGAGGAACTTAACTGATCATAGTAGTTTTTAGTATGAGAAAGTGGTAAGAGAGCTGGCGGTTCATATGATGTTAAGATGTAACCGTCCTCGACGGACATCTGCAGCGCCTTTATGGTTGCGAATGTACTGCCACCCTTTAATAAAGTGGGCCCCGATCACCTCACTAAAGGCAGAACACGTTCACTGCACGCCAGACTTCCGGGATACTTCGATTGACGAGCGTGTCCATTCTTGCAACAGCAATGACGGCAACGTGCAATACATTCTTGGGTTCACAAAATTTCACCCGATAATTGCGAAATGTGTGATGGAGAAGTTATACATCCCAGTACGGAAAATCATATCGACAATTTGTGGTAATTTGTGGCCCAGCGCAAACTTCTCCTCTTCGTCGTCTCTAAGACTTTGGACCCTTTAATGCGCCAAGCGTCCAGCGTTGCTGCGATCAAGAGGTAGCCGGTACGACACGGGCAACGATAGTCGCTCCACTTGAATCCACGTTAATAATTCACAAAGCACGAAATTACCTTACCCTCCGACTCCGATAATGTGAATGAAACCAAAATGGAGTAAATTACATTTAAAAAAAAGTGTAGGTTTTGTTGTGCATCCCTCGACCTTAGTGCCATCTGGATTCTCTTTCATTAGTTGAGTCACTCCCAACTATTGGAATTCTACTGATTTCCAAGGAATATATACGATACTCTGGTCTAGACATATCATGCAAAAATTTATTGGAATACAAAACGAGATAAGGCGTCTATACCAAACAGATTAATATTTACTTCTACTCTACTTTCCAAATGTATCTGACAAAACCTAAGTTGTTTCTGTATTTTTTAAAAAGTAATTTTATTAATTCACAATCTTAACTATTTATAGTGATATTTTTATAAAAGTGATAGAGACAGATTATGAAGATAACTATCAGTTTTAAACAAACATTAGACACCTTTTTTCTATATTATCTTTTCATCAGTCATGAATAAGACAAGTCATTGTTTTTGATTAGATCATTAAAGCCAGACAGCACACGTTCTAGAAAAATCGAATGACTTTAAAATCGAAACCTTTTCTACACCTTTAGTTAGGTGTTGTTAATTTTTATAGGATCAATCATTTGTTCAGTACGTACCTACTAAATTATTCGAGAAACATTTCAAGGAAGATGTTGATTTACATGTTTTCGTGTCAGTATTTGTTTCAGGCGCCAAGCATTGTTTCAAATGCTAAGAAAACGATGTTGAGGAATGCGTTAAGATTTTCGTCGGTGTGGTAATCAGCCGTTTAGCTCAGTGGCTAGAGCGTCAGGCCGCGAATGCCGAAGACGTGGGTTCGATTCCCACAGCGGCGACAATCTTTTCGCACTTTTTCTACATATTTTAATGTTCAATCTTAAGTGCAAAGATTAGCACTATAAACAATTTAAATTTCTAAGTATTTGTTTTAAATGTAATTTTATTCCTATTCCATTTCTATATTCAATCTTTCAATATAATCCTTATATTTTCAATCATATTGATTTCTTGATTTTATGTGAATATTATACACATTAAATGAAACAAGTTTACGGATTTTGTCGCGTTTTCATTTTGATTTTATGATTCCCGACGTTTCAGCGTTAATGATCACAGGACCGATTTTTCAATTAGATCTAAACACTAACACTACTAACGTAAATTATTTGGTTTAGCTTAAAAAGAATAAGAATAAAAAACATAATACATATTATTTTTAATGAAACAACAGTTTATGCGTACGGGTTATTTATTTAAAAGGTAATTTTACATACAAGATTCATTTATAGAAACTGCGTATGTCCTCTCCGCGAAATCTCCCTACCTATGATAGATTCTGTGAATTAGCTATTACGCTCTTACATTTAGCTATTAGCCCTGCAGTGGGTTTCGAATTCAATACCTAGGAGTACACTTAAATATAAGAAAAATTGACATAAGTACACTCCACCGTCCAATACTTAAAAGTAAGTTACCGCAACCACATAATCGAAAGACGAGCCTAGTTTTATAAGTAGCATTGTTCTGAGAATCTCGGTGTATTTTAGTTTGACAATGACAAACAAATACTACCAACCAGCATATTAATTATAATTATAATTATTTTAAAATTTATACTTATTTACTTATTGGCAATGGCCACGAGACCTTTATCCAAAGTAACACACAACGGTGTAATTTAGAGCTTACATTCAATACTTAGGCATATAGATAAAACAAAACTTTTTGCTACATGTAAGCTACGCGACTTCAACATTGACGTCCTAAGTCTACTCGCATACATAAATGATTTCGTATGATAATAATTGATCTAAAATAATGACGAATTAAAAATGAGCAGAAGCACGTAGTAGTGCATATCATGAATTAAATATAAAAATGTTATTAACGATTAAAAACGCTTATGATATCTATAGCGAAATAATACGTCACACGCCCGGAACGTACATACTACAGATAAAAAATAAAGAACACAAAGAGAGACATGGAAAAAATAATATAAAAACTAAACCGAGCAGTTAGAATCAACGAATTAAAAACCATCTCAGTCTTATCCGTAATTAATGGAAGATTTCACTCGGCAGACATCAGAACACACCCTGGATTGATTTGTACGCGTATGTGGCACTAGGTCTCGTTGCACTGATGCCGTGGACCGCCAAGCTCCCGTCGCTTCGGCCGGTCGTTTCCGTCCGCGCTTTTTCCAGGGCTGGACTTGGGGTAACCTCAGACGCGGGGTCTCCCCGCTGCTGGATTGGTGGCTGGACTCGGGCGCCCCGTCGGCTTGGGGCGCGGCCGCCGAGCCTAAAGCTGAGCCTCGGCCGAGTTCTGCCACAAGTTCGACGGAAGCGTGTCGTAGTGAGATGGCACCGTCACCAGAGCCTCAGCGGTGCTTCTGTTGATCGAGCAGTTCTGTAACAAGACCGAGAGGCCTCTTTGTTAATCGAGGCATATAATAAGTGTATATATGTGTGTGTGCGCGTGTTGTAAAGCAATGATATTATACACAACAATATACACTTAGACAATATAATATTGGTGCATCGAAACTGAGGCACTCAAATTACACCAATTGGCGTCTTACATCAAATTACACCGATTACAGTTCTGTAGTCTCTTTCCGTATCATACGTTCTAAATCATCTGTCACGTTCATTATACTATATGTCATATAATAAAAAGCGAAACAATTTTTAAACGACGCGCAGTAAGGACATGCGTCATCTTGAATAAAACATCATCGTTGTAAAGTGTATCACGACGACAACGCATTATTTGGTGGCAATCGAGACATGAGAATATTTTTTGTATAAACAAAGTTAGATTACTTTTATGTCAATTATAATACAGCAACATGAAGATTATGTCATTAAATATGAAAAATTCTACTTAAGATTTGACAAATAGAGATAAAAGTTTACTCAGACTCCGTAATAGAAATCTCACCTTGGGCTGCTTGCGGTGCGTGTCTACACAATCTATGGGCAACTTTATCATCTCAACCTTGTATTTGTAACCGTAAGAAGTAAGCTTCACAATAGTGTGAAGGGGCACGTTCATATATGGGAGTTCATCTGAAAATAAATAAAATATATTTATAAAAAATTATCTTTAACATTTTTACGATTTAACGGAACGGTATAACAATTAATAATCAATCTAAATGTTCTAGAGCCGCGATAGGTCGGTGGTCGGGCGCTCGCCTTTAATTTAATATACTACCTGAGTTCGATCCCCGATGCCGGCATCAATGAAATTGATAATTTTAAGTGCTGACTTATCACGTGCTCAGCGGTGAAGGAAAACATTGTGAGGAAACCTGTACATTTTCGAAATAATAACAAAAAAATATTTCGAAGATATGTGAAGTCCGCTAATCCGCAATGGGGCCGGGCCGAGTGGTGGATTATGTCCTGATATAGAATAGATTATGTCCCTGTGTATAGAAGAGGCCTGTGGAACATGTTGCTTTTTTTCTCTAAATATCACAAAAAATCCTAAAATAAAGATGTATAATTCTAACCAAGCCTTTCAATCCTAGACATGTCAGGCAGCAGCATAGGATAGTGTGATTGGTGCGAACCATCCGACAAATGGAAAACCCTTTAGTGTGCGTTACTACTGTGATTGGACTCCACGACATATTGAGTTCTGACATTGTAGGCACTATACACGCCTTTTATACAAGTTCTTATATTACCCGGAAATGACAACGACAGTTAAAATGTCTGGCAACGGACATTAAAAGTTTGGAAAAGTAATTTGCACTTTTATTCCAAATCCGAATGCTTCTGCGGTAAAATAAAGATCTGTGGTTTTTAGGGTTCCGTACCCAAAGAGTAAATAAGGATCCTATTACTAAGACTCCGCTGTCTATCTGTGTCCGTCTGTCACCAGGCTGTATCTCTTGAACCGTAATAGTTAGACAGTTGACAGTTGACATTTTCACAGATGATGTATTTCTGTAGCCGCATTAACAAGAAATACTGACAATAATTTAAAAGGGACTGCCATACAACGGACATTATTTTTTTAGCCGTTTTTATAGATAATGGTACGGGACCCTTCGTGCGCTAACCGACTCGACCTTGGCCGGTTTTATACTATAATCTATGCTCTCACCGAGCTTGGCGTCCAGGAAGTATCCGATCATGCAGCGCAGCACCGCTTGGTGGCCGACCACGACGACGTTGTGCTCGTCCTCGAGCGCCGACAGCACGGGGCGGAGGCGGGTCATTATGTCAATGTAGGACTCGCCCCAGGGGTAGCGGTAGCGAAGCTTGTCCTGGTCCCGCCACGCGAACTCCTGCGGGAAGCGCTCCTGCATCTCCTCGTACGTCAGACCCTCGCAGATTCCCTGGGGGCAAGGAAGGGATTTACTTGTTTATTGTATAAACGTATTCTGCAGTATGCTTGAACGCAACGCCACGATAAACTCTTTACGTGCCTCGTGTCTATAATTTAAATAAACATTACCCTACCTGAGTCATTTTAAGAAAGAATACAATACAATAATAAACAAAATAAATACTAATTAATAGTATTTACAAATTATGCGATATTTCATTATGTACTATTTTACGGATTTTATTGCGTTCGATTATGGTTTTACGTAAACTAAAAAAGTTTTACTGAACGTAAAAAAGTTTTATTTAACCACAATAATTTTTGTATTCGTACGTTAAGTACTTACTAAATATCGCTCTCTTTTACTTGAAACCTATCAATATCAACATTTATACACATTATTTATTGATAATGATTAAAATTGATTAATTATCTAAAATTCGTACCAATGATTCTTGTGACTTTCATTCATCAGATTATGTTAGCCTTGCATAAACATGGATTCTAGTCAGGCCCAACTAATTCACAACTAAATATGATCATAAACTAATTCACAACTAAATATCGCACCCTGCGTAGAACAACGTGACATCTGCAAAATTGTAATTGTTCAGGACGGCCGATTCAAATTATTATTTTTTTATTTTGGTTATAGTTTTCTTATACATAGCAGTTGCTATTACAATTTTTGAGGTTTGTGATATAATTAGGTATATTAACGAACAGTATACTTTTTGAATTAATAATTATATAAATTTAGGAAATAAGAGGTTTCATGTGTAATAGTGACGTTTTCCTACGGAAAATGGCAATCACTAATGGGTTACAAGAACAACGTTATATAAACACGTTTATATAACGTTGTTCAACGGAACATTCCAAAAAATAATGTGTCACACGTTCATTTATAACGTTGTTCTACTAAAAACTCAGAAAATATGTATGGTACAAACGCAGGTAATACTGTTTTCAACGAAAAAACCATAAAAAGTGGGTGACTGTGCAATAATTATCAATTGACTCTAATACAGTATTTTACACTCGTCTATTACATTAGTAAGCTTAGTCTAGTCAGTACAAAAAAACAGTGTCTAAACGTACATATGTCCTTGTACTGCGGAGCAAAAATCAGATAGAACGTTGTTCTATTCTGAATCTCAATATCTATAAGTCAGACGAAAAAAAAAATTAATGTCATCTAAAAGCGTAGACAATAATTAAGACTATGATAAAATCAAATTCGTTCTATGTGACCACAGAACGTTATTCTACGCACGGTGCGATATGATCATAATGTGGTTCGTGATTATTAATTTTAGAACGCGGTTAACACTTTTTATTGTTTTAATTTACTAGTAGATAACCTGAAGATGACGATGTAAGTATTTCTTCTTGGTTTTGGATGGTATGTATGCCTTTCAAATAAAAATTGTAAACAATTTAAAATAATACCTTTATCTTAATTTATCACAAAGTGCCCGATAAAAATAACAACGTGTATAGTCGTCGGACAATAAAAAGGTTATCTACTTTGATTGTTCGGATTTCATCTGAAAGCTTTGTTCTTTAAAAAAACTTTTAAGGAAAAAAATTACAATTCATGCGTTGGTAGTATTTAATGAACAAAAATTATTTCATCCGTTTTTAGAGTTTCATATAAGAGTGTAGAAAGATTTTTTTCTTTTAACTATCTGTGAGATTCGTTGATTAATAGTTATTTATATTCACTGCACCAGCAGATTATAAATAGCCAGTTGTTACGTGTTATGTATCGTCATCGATATTAGGGGACGACACTACTCCGAGCCTAATGACTATTTTCCCTATCGACCGTCAATAAAAGACGCAATTGAATAAGGCTGCCAAGATATTGCTCATGGAACGCGAGATATAGATTAGCACAAAATACGTTCGCTCTTTATTGTATCAATTCTTAGTAACAGTACCGTCACAACGAGGTAAACAACGTGTCTAAATCTAGTTTCTTAATAATAAAAGACATAGATCCACGTCTATTTTGATAGATATATGTACTACATCCATTTAAAAAAAACTCTTTAACGAAAGAATAAAACCGATAATATAAGAAAACTTTTTTTTTATAATTTAAATTATAGACATGAAATTCTCCACTGCTTATTGCTACCTTGAATAACAAAAGAAATTATTGAGGAATTAAATATTTATTTTAGTGTAATATTATTTATCCCTTTGATAGAACACAAGTTCAATTAACATACTTTCTATGGATTGCAAAGTTAGAAAATCGTGAAAACGTGAATCACGATAGCACGATTTTAGTAAACATTTGAATTTCAATCGATAGTTATTCCCGTCGCAATGAATCAATACGTTGCTCGTGCAATACGCTCAAGCCTTTTTTTAACTTTACTTCGCTTGTTTCGAAAACGTGAGAGTCCAAAAAATGTAGGTATTCTAAAAATAATGAGATTCACGTGCTAAGTTGTAGTTTTGCGTTTCAGTCTCAGTTCGATTTGTTTAGAATATAAAAACCTATGTCGGATAGGACAACTATCCAACCAACTTTAATATAAAAAAATAATTTCACAAGTATTGTAAATTAAGTAAATGCCTCATCACGCTATGCTTAATATTAGTTAAGTATTTTAAACAGGTAAAACTGAAATATTATAAAAAAAACAATGAACAAAGTGATCAATCATACGCGGCTTACAGCGAAAATGTTTGGATAACCTCAAAGGTTGATTGATTCCTATCCATCCAGGAACTGAGAAAAGCGATAAGATGGCAGATAATACTCGATAACCCTAATCTATGTAAAGTATCCCGTACGAGGAAGTCGTTTTTAGTATTATTACCATTGTACAATCCCGGTAGTAAATTATTCATACATAACTTAATAAAACATTGGGAAAACGCGACACGTATAGATTTCCCGGTGAGCTGCAAATCAAAATTTAATTAGACGCGACTTATTGTACACTTTACGATTAAATACAGAGGACATACAATCGACAACTAAAAAACGACATTTGGGGGCTGATGATGAAACATGTTGTGGAATTGCCCAGTGTTTTAATTCGATAATAATTTTCGATTGGTAAAATTTATTTAACGGTTTCCGAGGTCACTTCGATCCCCTGTTCGGTCACCGATAGCACTCAACAAACGTGCGGTATACTCGTGATTTACGATAATTTAATGCGTAATTAAAAACATTTGCATCTGATAAATAATGTTATCAGCTACCTACGGGATAACGTTATTAATAACAGTAAATGACTAAAACAATAATATTTGCTATCTTTTCGAGTTTATAAAAAGCGGCAAGTGAGGAATTTCAAGGGATTTTAATTTTTATTGACTACAATTAAAAAAATTTGAAAAACGGAATGAATATAATACTTAGGTAAAGTATCTATAGACTATAGCTAGCAAATAATACGTTAGGTACAGTTGTAACAGCATACTCAATGTCGATAAAAAGGTAAATAAAAATTGCCTCAATTCTTATCAGCAGACAAGTAATTGGAACAATTTTTCTCTTAACTAATAAGTCCCTGGATATGTGATTCCACCTTGTCCCAGATGATAAGTAGGTAACCAGTTTATCAGTTTTTTTGAATCGTTGTCATTAATGGCTGCGCGATAATTATGGCGGCCTAAATGCCTTACGGTAATAGCGGTCTTCTTTCCACATGTTTTATCGCTATATCGCTATTGTTTCCCTAGTGTTGATCTTTGTACTATCGCAGAGATTAAATCAGAAAGCTCTCTTATTTTGTATGTTATGTCATTAATTGATCAGAACAGACGATTCTTCTATACTTCTAAACACTGGTCCACAAATGGATTAAAATATTTCAGCCGAAAAAGTATCGCTTCCACCCCGCCGAAAAGACTAGTATATTCGTTGGATGGCTTTTTATGCTTCCAGTCTCCACCATTACTATGTAAGCAGTTAGCCATTGACTAGGACCGTATAATCTTACGTGTAGGATGCAAGGAAGCACGGATGCCTTCGGTCTAAGACCGAGTACTTGTCGCCGAGATTTGCTGAGGGCGTAGAACTTGTTTACTAGCTTGCACGAGTCGTTAGGTTCTTTATACGTGCAGTCGGATTTTTATACAGTCGTTGGGAGCTCATACATGCGTGCGCTTCTCGAGCGGAGCGATGTGTTTGTGTCTACATTGTATCGTAGTAGGGACAGTTTCGAGGTAGAGGTGGTGTGTACTCACGGCGTCGAGCTCGTTGAGCGCCCGCACGGCCCGCTTCGGCGCCCTAATGTGGGCGGCGGTCTGCTTGGTGCGCCGCAGCTCGGAGGTCCACACGCTGACCGGCTCTATGCCGGCGAGCGCGTTCATGTGCTCGCCGAGCGCGCGCGCGTAGGTCTGCCCGCGCGCGGACAGGTCCGCGTCGCCGCCGATGCGCCCGAGCACGTTGTATTCGCTCTCGCCGTGCTGTTGGCGGAAGCCGTTTCGGTTATAACGTCTTTTCAGTTACCAACGCCGAATGCCGTTACAGTTATAACGTCCCCGTCACTATAAACGGCCTGCGTGCGACTATACTGCTACTAACTATCATAATACTGTTGTGTGTTTAGTTTACTATATTCTTTAACTGCACTCTAGCCATGTTTTGATTTTTATGGGAAATGGTAGAAAAGAAACGGGTCGATTGCCTGATGTTAGAGATAATTCTGCAGGAGTGTAAGATGATCGTCATCTACAACTCAGGTGGTGTTACAGTTGCATAGTCCACCTATAAACAGTACTTCCCGGTTACCTCACTCATCAGACGACATGTAAAAACAATTTAACTTTAAGTACGCCTACAAGAATGTTGATCTCTGAGAGTCGATGCGACCCAACTAAGTTTTAAGAACTTTCGCATCTGTGAATTTTATCTTCGCACTTTTTCTTAAACGTTTATTAATTTTGTTTCAAAGGACTAATTTCGTGACAGAGAAATCGGCTAACGTCATACAAATTAAAAATAACCAAGGACCACACCGTCACTTTTGATATTTATGCTATTTGATATGATTGCAGGTGATAAACGATAACAACTAAAGAAGTGAAACGTGCAGAAAGGTGACTAATCGACAAAGTACCAATAAAATGCGTCATATGACACAGCACAATGGTGACTTTAGACACTATCGATTGTGGCTGGGGTCGGCATTTACTAATCATTCATTCCCTTCCCGCAACAATCACGTTATATACTACGATATCGCAAAATATTTTGATTACAGTGACACAGTTAAAAATTACACATTATCCGAAAACAGCAAAACATTAAAATCACCCGTGTACATAAACAAAAGTTATTTGGCAAGAGCTCAGTGCAGCTTTCAGCGAAACTTCTCGGAACACGCACCAAATTTAATATCAACAAATCAATTCGAAATATTTACGCGCGTGCAAACCTTAAGGATGTTTGGAAAGGGACGCATTTAGAAAGCCTAAAGCCCATGGCCATGTTAATGTAAGTATTCACCAGTTTCAATACATTTGCACTTAATTGAATTGTTTTTATTTCATTTCAATCATACGGATGTTTTCCAACGCTTGTTTATTCATATGTGTTACTATTAATAGAGCCGCTTATAAATTTCCATTACATATCGCGGCGAACGATACGCCAAGTGGAAAACATGTTTATATGTATATCATTTGAATACTGGGAAAACGAGCGCACTGATTGATAAGATTAGTTTTGAATGTGATTGCCACTCACCCTGGTGAAATATAGTGTCTGCGGCAGGGCTTTCATCCCGGTCAGATATCCGAGAATTCCGGACTCTTTTTGACCGGCGACTTTGTGCGCTGTGACCGTCTCGCCCATGTTCTCCACTCGCACGAAGCTTATGGACTCCAGGGCGCCGTCGATGGGCTCGTACTGCCTCATGTAGTGCTCTAACTTCTTTCTCAGATCGTCCACCGCTTCCTCCTCGCTCATCGCCTTGTAGTCCGCTGAGTAGTGGAGGATCTCAATGATGTTCCTCTCCAGCAGCTCCTGATCCTCGCAGACGCACTCGATGAATATTATCCTGAAGCCCATCTCGGACAGGCAGTACTCGTTCAGCTCGCGGCGCTGCTCACGCGTGATGTTGGTGCCGTCGAAGATCTGGAAGCGAACGGCTGAGTTTTCACAAACATTAGGATGCCGCGAGAGATGAGACGTATTTACTAAGTAAAATATACCTATTTTCGCATTAATGTACGTAAAGTTTAGTTTATGATTCGTTAAATCATTATCAAAGGTTTACGGTCATAAGTAATAAAACTTTGTTGAGCGGTTGAGCGTTCGTTACAAATCTGATAGATTACACACGAGAATGTTGCCTTACGCAATTTATAACAAACAGCACATTTTTGCTTAACTAATTTACAATTTTTTTTAAACAATACGCCACAGTCGATTCACTCGTTCTAAAAACAATTTTAGTTCATTAAGTTTTGGCAATTTTTTATATGGGAAGGTGGCGAGCGAGCTGGCGGTTCATCTGATGTTAAGTGATAACCGCCACCTACGGGCATTTGAAACACCCTTGGGCTTGCAGATACAAAGTAAACCTTTTGATAAAGTAGCTCCCGGCTACCTCACTCACCAGACAAAATGCAGAAGTGTAACACTTCCACTTAACACCGGTCTTCTATGATATCGTGGCAATTCCCCGGAAGGACCTGCCTATTCATGCAACACAAGACTGTTGCGTGGCCCTAACACAGCTAAATTATTAATAAAAAAAAAAGAAATAATACGATTTTCGATTTCGATTTTCGATTTCGATTTCCTCTAAGCCAAATGTGAAAGACTTACAGCGACGCTGTTGCCGTCTTTGAGCCACAGGACTGCGTCCTGGACGGCCTCGCGGGCGCTCTGGCGGCGGATGGCCGAGCCCTGATGGTTGTCCGCGCGGAATATGTCATGGCTGCCGTAAAGCGCCATGTGCTTCCGACGGTACTCGCTGCAGTCGAACACTGCAACGAAGCAGCTGTTATAACGCTATGCTCCCCTGGTAGCTTTAACACGCAGCTGGCTGAAAATACCTAGAAATGTAGCCTCAGCGATACTATAATTAAATTCTTTTTTTAATATTATTGTTAAATTAATAAATAAAAATATCGTTTCTCATATTTAAAACAATATACGTACTACATATATTGGTCTACAAATAGTTTTGCCTGCGTGATTTATCATAATGTACAAAATCATCGAAGATAAAATATAAATATCGCGAGTATCTAGCATAAATAACCCAGCTCATATGCCGTCTCCATTACATTCCAATCATTTAGTAGTTCGTTGAACTTTGACCGTCGACGAAACGTGAACGTTAATCATCAACGATAAACTATTTTTATATAACAGTGATCAACTGTCGTAAAGTTAAAAAGGCAAAATATTTGAAACTAGTTTACAAGTCGTCACCCGTCGAAAAAACGGTTTTTAAAAGCCGCTCGTTCATTGTTCATCTTTGAGATGTAAATCATTCGCTCTAATATTATTGCGCGTGATTATTATTTAAAAACTATTTATCATACAATCTAACAATACAAGAACATATTAGAACTATGCAGTATGCCAGTGTAGTTCATATCTAATCTAAAATATGCTGAACTGTCTACATATTGTAGACGGCTTACTAGTCCTTTAAACGGGTCAAGGTATCGCAATGAAATTGTTACCCTATGTCTATTGCATTTAGGTATGTATTTCATAACGCGCAATTTGTGTCATGGTTGAGCAGTTGCAGATTGCAATAGTGGCAACTCGAAATGACTATATTCGCTCCTCCCATGGGTGTACTACTTCAAAGATCTAAAGTGCCACACGTACGTTATCTTTTACGTAAATATTTAACCACAATATATCGATGTCCCTAATACAACAATCACTGTTACTCTCAAATAATGCATTCGATAATTTTGTAAAAGAGGCCAATGAGTTCTCATTTTTAAACCGCTTTTATTGGAATCATTTATTTAACAATGTTTTTATGTAATATTACAACTAACAGGCACGCATCTCGATACATCTTATATTCGTCATTTCATACACACAATTTAAACGATGATGACCTTTTTTATGTAAAGACGCTATTAGAATGTCTCAATTAATATCATCATCTATAACAGTTAACACAGCATCTTACACTAATATCATGTGTATCAATGTATGCCTACGCACCGGCCTTTTAAATGCGAACATTAAAAACACAGAAACAACATGTAGGACATGAAGTGTTAATTTATGTTAAAGGTTGTTGTTACACATCGGCCGCTGGTATTGTGTTCTGCTGCATCACATGTTTGCCTTACAATTACGCGCTTGTTATAAATATAGAATAGTGGCGACGTATTAAATTGCACACATGTTGCAAAAACATAATGCCGCTTTTTTAAATGTATTAAATGTAAACCAAAATGTCATCTATCAGCAGCAATGCAATAATAATAGCAACAGTGCATTATTTGCAAATGTTGCAACGGCATTCTTTGGAATAACATGACACACATAAGCAATTTAAAATTAACATTGTCCAACTTTTGAAATCGTTATAATGCACTTCTGATTGTTAAAAATCATTGTTTTTAAAATCAGCATTTGTAATTGATGGTTTAGTTCCAAACTACCTTTTATGCTCTGTCCCTTCCGATTGAGGTGTCATAATATCAATCGTCAATATAAAATTAATATTGTCCAATTTTTTAAATCGTTCTAATGTACTTTTGACTGTTTCAAACCAGTCACGGCATTTTAAGCTTTGTGATTGATGGTTAAGTTCCAAAATACCTTTAGTGCTCTCTCCATTCCAGTTGAGGTGCCTGGATAGGCGGTGGGCCAGCTGGCTTTTGCCGCGAGCGGGCAAACCAACAAGGGCAATGAGGAGCGGCGCAAACTGGCTGATGCGACGCGAACGGATGGAAACTAAAACAATTGGAATAAAGGTTAAACAACAATTCAAAACCTCTACTTATCAAGTACCGTCACAAATGAAGGAAACGAATGGCACAAACAAGAAAGGACAATTTAGGAACGCTTAATTAGGTAAGAGGCAATGATTTACTTTTCTTCTTAAGATTTAAGAATAGAAGTAGAACTAGTAGAGTATTCTTAAATAATAAGGCTCTACATATACAAATTGATATTAATAATACGAATACGCAAAGAGAATTAAGTCACTTGACTACAATTATGATACGTAACAATCATAACAAAATGTACACGTCAAAGATAAAGTAGAAGAAGTAGAGTAGAACTCTTAAATATTAAGTCTCTTCGTATACAAATTGACATTAATAATACTAATATACAACGAAAATTAAGTCACTTAACTACAATTATGATACGTAACAGTTATAACATAACATGTACACGTCAAAGATATTGAATAACAAGATACTTAGAATAGAGATAAAGGCAGAGTTGTTTATTAGATATGCTTCTTTCGTGAACATTATTATAACGATAATCCATGTAATTGATTCAATTATTTATTTGACAAATCAACTAAACATATAACGTGATATGTGTTATACAGCAAATTCACTTCAATTTCACTTCAAACAAATAAAACTCGAAGATTTAAAATAAAAAATATCTTAAGGGGAAAACAAAAGACTCTGAATTAATATAAGTAGTAAGTTTTCATTTTCGCTTGTGCTACCGCGCCACGGTCAGTCGACCTTCGCCGGACGAGACAGTCGGGGTCAAGACGATAACCGAGCAGTAATAATCATTTCATCTAATAATAATTGTTAAACTATCAACACTATATATTAAAACCGAGATATGAGCAATGTATAATTAATCTTTTGTTATTAAAAATATATTTTTTTGTCCACCACAAACAAAAATAGCTTGCACAACAGCTTCTGCTGTAAAATTAGTCAGGTCCACCCAGGATACTCACCACCAGGGAAATACCGCTTCCTAACTTCTGACCTTCTGGTCAGCTTATAGTGCGGGGACTGTGATCATCGGACACACTCGTATTAACACAAAGTTGACAACACGACTGCATCATCTCTAGTGTTGTGGGTACCCATGGGCTTCTAACTTATCATAAGCCCGGTCCGGCTTGGTCAGTTGCCTATTCTTTGAAGTATTTATATGCTTCAAAATAAAAGAATCGGTATCTTTACAGTGTGTAAGCCATCTCGCTTCCAAAAGTTCATTTACGCTTAGCACAACTGATATTTTTTTATTATGCTATTTTTATTATCATAGACACTGATTTCCTGCTGTAACAGCAGAAGGATTGTCCACGTGCTATCGAATTTCAACATATTATATTTCAGTCGAATGTACAGATGTAATTGATTCAATTATATATTTGACAAATCAATTGTTATGACTTGAAATGAACTATGAGTTGTCATTACAAATCCAATAGCGAATTTAGTTAACTGCATCTACATCGCTTTGCTTAGTAAAAATTAACACTAGAACAACCAAATGAAATACTAGATGTTGTGTCAGGCTGGTTTGCTACTTAATTTTTGAATTCCAATAAAACAAAATGTATTAGATTTACTCTTTCAAAGTTGTGTCACCAATCAGGAATCTCTATTCAAGAGAAAATCCTACCTCTTGAGGATTCAACAGCATTTCTTGAAATAAGCGTTGACTCCAAGTTGCAATGAGGATTTCATGTAGATAAGTTAACTAAGAAATTGAGCTCTGCCGTCTTTGCCATACGCAAGATCAGGCAGCTAACTAACGAGGAAACAGCTAAATTCGTTTATTATACTTATTTCCACAGCATAATGTCTTATGGTGTCTTACTTTGGGGTTCCGCATCCGGTTTAGACACAATATTTGTATTACAAAAGCAAGCTATACGGGCTGTCTATGGCTTGAGTCCACTTTTATAATAAAATAGGTGACATCCACAAACAACTAAGTATAAACAATTTCAAACGTAAAGCTACAGGCGCAATTTGAAGAAGAGCTTGCTTTACACTTGAATGTTGCAGATACTGTATTTATTGTCCTATTTTTTCTGTGAGGCAATAAGCGAAAAATCCAGAAGTTCTGTACTGATAGAATAAACCTGTAGGCCCGTAGATTTTAATTTAACCTTAATTAAAGCTTGGAATTCTACCATTCAAACTTTAATACATTCAATCGATAACGTAACGATGTTAAGAAGACAGGTAGATAAAGAAACAAAAGAAGAACAAATTAAGACCTAATTTCAGCAGCCGAACAGTATATAAATTCTACAACGTTCTATGAACCTATCATGATAAAATATAAGATTATTAAATCATACATTAACTGAATGATTTTTAAAACAAAAATCCATGTCATTGCTAATTAAGTCATTGATGTAGGCGTAAGTATGATGTAGGAACGTAGTACGTGTGACAGTAGTATAATACTACTGTAGCACGTCAGAAAATGAATTGCTTGGTGCGGTTGACAGCTGTCATTCTAACCCCGCAATGCTTTTTATTGCTAAAAAAAAAAGAGTTGCTAAAATCTTATTTGGTATATTCATGAATATTCATTGTATCTATCACTCACTGCCCTTAATACTGTATTTACAAAATGTCCTTTATAATATCTTCAACCAAATCTTTTTTCAATTAACGTTAACTGAGCAGGTCAGGGGCTGTCAAACATTTTATTACAAATTTTGAGAACCCAATCGATGACCTAATGTCTATTTATAAACACTAGCCCACAAACGACGCTCGAGCGTAAACGTGGGGCCGACCAATAAAACGCGGGTCTAGAGACGCGCCTTCGCCGCAAACAACTACACTATTACACTATTACACTATACCAATACAAACACACTATGGACGTCATTCACCTCGATACGTCTGTATTGTGGAATCAAAGTGCACGCGTTTAATCTATTTCACATTGTTTCATAACTGTCGGTTGAATCGAGAATATGTTTATGGTATAGACATAATAACGTTATTGTTTTATCAAACAAGATTTTATGGTCGTAATCAAAAGTTTGTATTATATTCACCTTGTGTAACATTAGCTTTTTTCGCAAAATAGACGTAGTTGGGACCGAGTTTAAATAAGATATGCATATTATTTAATGATCTAAGTCCATATCTATATCGATAATTGTAATTGCTGATTATCAGTATTGATAAATTTCGTCAGCCTATGCTTACGATAGTTATTGTTATCAATTGTTTATTATCTGATTTTGTATGTTGTGGACTCTCTATAAATATATGAGTACTTTATACTTTCATCCTCTAAAATGTGTTGTCAATTTATAGAAATGTGTACAAAATTTCTTTTCATATCTTTTTTTCTATTAGCTACGATGTAGGTATATCACAAGTCTCTTTTAAATAATCGCCCGTTTGATCTTGTGTTACAATGGATATTTTATCCTAGGCCTAAGTATATGAAGGTAAGTACATAATGCCTTTGAACGACGGAGTCCAATCAAAGTTGATTTGTTGCTGTGTTGACAGTATTTTACTTTTTATAGAGTGCTTAGACGAAAATTTACTGAACACTCTGACATACTTTCCTTCTCTATTGCTTGAAGGATGAAGAAAACATTATTCAAATGAACATTGTTGTGTCTACTAGCGTCAAAGTAAACTTATTAAAGTAACTTTATCAATTCTTCTTGGTTGTTTGTCCATAATTTGCTTGTGTGAAACGACCGTAACCGGGACACTTCTCATATTTATCGCAAGTACATAACATGAAGTGCAAATGCCGGACATAATCGCAATCTATTCTAGAAAAGTTTACAATCGAATGTTGAAATTAACAATTTTAGTGCGTAGCCAAAAAAATTAATCAGCGATAGCCAAATCGTTTCACGTTTTACATACGATGGCGAAACGAATAAAGCGCTCGTAATTTAAAATTCGAATGTGAATAATAAGGAATTGATTCGTTAATCAGAAATAACGCACGGAGTTTCGTTTCGAGAAACAAGCGACTAGTCGGCGTGGCGAGCGTCAGTCGGCGCGTTTGGACTTTGGACTCTCGAAGGAAACCACCGCTGTACTCGTGGCTCGCGTGGTCGCTCAGAATCGAGCGGCGCCAAGTGATACGAGGCCAGTTATATAGGGCGATTATACATACATAGTTGCATAATAGCATTGGCTATCATTGATATTATACTATAGGTTGCATTCGATTAAAACTTAATATAATAATAATTATGCAATTACATCGTTACAAATGTTGATTTTATTCATTTCGAAGGAATGACTAGAAATGGTATAAAATATTGCGTTCGTATTTTGACAGCTGATTATTAAAACAGTGCATCGTGGACGGTTTATAAATATTATGTTTTTACATTTAATATATCAGATAGTTTTAAAACTTCTTGACCGCGTGATGTTAAACTTTCGGACTAAGTGTGTTGGATGTTTTCATATATTCAACCTATGCTTATATAATATGTAAATATTATTCCAACATACTAACAGGTTGACAAAAGCTATTTTTTCAAACATAAAGAGACAAGATGACTGGATATTTTTAGAGGCGTGATCTCAACTAAAAACTGGTAGATTTATGTGGTGTAACTATTCTGGATCGTTATACTAAAAGAAAGTATTACAAAATGTGAAAGGAATAAATGTAATTATAATAAACAAATGTAAAATTATGTACAATACAAGAACTTTTTTTATTTATCAATACGATATTTTTTTAGTTTTCCGTGAAACCATTGATGTTTTACATAATACAAGGAGTCACGTTAAAATACATATGTGCAATGTTGTTGCTGAAAATTAGGAATATAATAGTAAAGCCACGGAATAGGGAAAAACCGCCGATCAATAAAGGATACCGCAAATTTACAATCGAAATAAGTCGCTCGCGACTCTATCCGCACGGGTAGAGTTTGGTTAATGGAATTATAAAAGCGATATACATAATTATAACACAACATGAATGGATGACGTCTTCCT